GATAATGAATGTTTCCTGAGATTTTGAGTTGATCTTATATGCGAAATACACGAGAGCTAAGTCCTTTACACCCCTGAACATGTGAAGAGCGCCTTTATGGAATGAGAGTTTGGATATTGTTTCGATAGGTTTCAGGATATCTGGTTTTTCTTCCTTTCCAGCTAAGCGCTAAAAACCGCGTAAACGATCCTGAATTCAGAAATAACTTCATCACTCGTGATTCTTCTCGTCCGGCTAGTATTTTGTGATATCAGTTACTCGGGATAAAAGTTTGATGCTTCAGTCTAGATGCAATTACAAATGCAATAAGAAACATAGACGTAGCCTTTCTGAAGAGACGGGAATTTCTTTCAGCTGCAAAATAAGCATCAGTTTATTGGCAATGTTACAATCAGTTTAAATGGGTGTTGTTTCGGCTGATAATTTAGGGTCGGATATGTATGTGATATCCTAGGTCTAACAAATGTTTTTGGAAATTTTAGCAATTTCAGTTCAAAATTTCTCCAATGATTTTAATTGAACAGGCTTGAAACTTTCAGTAAAACGAGGGCGTAATTTTAGAATAATGGTCAAAATCAGGATTTAAGAGCAAGTCCTCAAGACATCATATTCACTAACTTTATCTAAGCTCGACTGCATTAAAGTTTTGTACCCTTAATACCCTAGCTAGAACCAGACTTTGCACCTCTAGCAAAATGAGAAACATCCGCTCTCTTCATCATGGACTTTTTCCCCCCATCTTCATTCGGGTGCTCTAGGACTGTAAGGCGGAAAGTGTCCGCGCAGCTGCCGGCTGTTCACAGACAGACAAGGTCGGTTAATGATACAGTGTTGGCACCGCTTTACTAAATGTAACAGATATACTATAGGCCGGACAAAAAACATCCACATCCAAGCCTCCAATTGTCTTCCTCTTTTAGTTTCAATGCTTGAAAAAACCTGTGTTATTCCTGATGCTGCTTCCGCCACAACTGTGAAGCTTCCGATGCGCTTTTAAATCTTCATGGAGTAAAGTAAAGTAAAGTAAAGTAAAACCTGTACATTAAAAGTAGTATTCTATTGTTGGTTTTTTCTCACATAAGATCAAATTTTTGATAATTGCCTTCCTGTGAGTCGTTGCCATCGACCTTAATTAGAGTAAACAGAATTACTTACTATGCACAATTGATAATACGATGAAAGGGTATTTTCATATATAAAGTTACACCACCCTTGTATCGAAAATCCTATGTTTTTCTTATCATTTCCACCGGTCGCTGAAAGGTATCTTCGATACTTTGACCTCTCGGTTAACTTCTCCATTTATAGTGCTGATATTTTCCATTATTGTGCCAAGTTGGCAGAGCTTTGACACTTCACCCGCGCGTTACTTAAAAACTCTGATCTACTTCATCTATCCTTCGTCAGAACGCAAATTGCTAAAAAATCTTCAAGGTAATTGTATGATTAAGGAAGTCAATGGGTCTTACTAGATAAAATGCTCCCCCCCGTGAGTTTCACTCAGAGACCTTCGCAGTCCTCGTGCAGAGGAAGTGAGCTGTCTTTTTGCTCTTCGGATGTAAGTCAGATGACGCACAGCGAGGTAAAAATGACAGGGATGCGAATGTTTCTTGTTCTTGTGCTCTGCCCTTTCGTAGTACATAGAAACTTTTATAATAATGGACTGTCAAGTTATGGCTAGGTCTTCCGTTGCTTCTTTTTTTCTCGCTCAAGTGTTACTCGCATCTTTACACAAGCGTAACAAAGGAGCAATACAATTGCCAGCTCCCTACCTTTATCATTTATCGACTGCTCTTTTTCCTAACCAGACAAGGTTGTTTAAAAAACCATTTCCAGAAAAATATGATGAAATGTTGTTCAAGTTTCTTCGAGATGATATTAAACTAAATCGTTAGCCGAAGTTGCATCCTCTTAGACTAAATAAAATATGACTCTTGTCAAGAATGATTATAATTTTTGTATGGGACTTATTCTACACGAGCTTCGTCATATACAGTGCGCGAATCAATCCTTCGTTTGTGACTCAAGTAGCGAAATTACGGATGCTAATTCTGTGCCAGTGCTTGAGGCATTAAACCATGTCACACGTCATTATCTCTTGATATCGGGTTAAGGAATTTACTATAGCTCTGATGACCATCTCATGGTCACGCAAACAATCGGTAATGCGCTTTTGATCATTACATGCTAAAAAGCGCACTATGAATTTATAAATTATTATAAATTATTAATGAAACTAAAATTTCATTCGCGTTCTTAATCTTTCTTCCTCTTTAAATACGTCATTCAAGTTCTATTTTCAATTCTCATTCGTTCTCATTTAGCTGCACCGTTCCTCTATCATTTCCCTCACCTATCCATGTTTCATGAACAATCACTGACGCGTTCACTCATTAATTAGATAAATATATGTTTTTGTAGCTCAAACGTCTGCCAAGAGCGCACACGTAGGTCTGTTGCGACATCTACCATGGTGAGGACTCTCAATTATCGAACCTACTACACAAAATGTGGATTTCTCTGGCTTAGGCGCTGCAGAAGATCTAGGTTAGTCAATGAGATATAGGGGGAAACTGGGGAATTTTCTTGTATCAACCGTTCAAATGTCATTGCTATTGAAATTGTTGTTGTTGCTGTTTTGGTTTGTTTCTATTTGTTTCTAATTTTATTGTTTTGATTTATTTCTAACAGTTGTAATTTGAATGTTTAATTTGAGTTGATTTTGTGCCAATTCCAGCAACTTTGATTTATCTTCAATTTGTAACATATTTAAGTTAAGTGGTGATATTTGTCCGACATTTAGGGCACTGCAATCGGAGCGACTTACAAGCACCTGCTCCGGCAAAGCAGTTCCTATCCCAGCGCCCGTCTCCTTTCCCCCCTGGAATATGATTGAGTATCGGCAGATATTTTTTGTGAAGCGAGATAGGTGAACATGTGACGGAGTAAGTTCGACTGAAACTTCGCTAAAAACGGCAACTTATTTTTGTTTTGATTTTGGCTTATCCCCGCACGAAAAATGCCTCCAGTTTGCCTCAATAGTATTACTAGCGTGGGGAGGGGAAGCGATGACCGCATAGCTTGTAAGGGGAGGAGGCGGAAGGGAAGCGATAGTTACATAACTTGTAAGGGGGGGGGTAAGCAATGATCACATAGCTTGCAAAGTGGTCAACTCACACCGTTGTTTTTTTCCCACAGTTTGAAAATTTTATCGTGATACCACTATGTATAATGGTAGGCTCTTTTTGTAGCTTACTGTTCTTGTCGATGCTACGTCTAGTAAAAATTTCGAACTCGCGCTCGGTTGAAGAGACTCGAAGAGCCGATTGAGGTTTGTGACTGAGCGAGTGAGCGAGCGAGGTTCGACTAGGAAAATAAATAAAAATACATGAGAAGAAGGGCCGAGCGATGATAAACATACAAGACAGAATTTAAAGACTTAAAAATGTTTTCCTGAATGTAGCGATGGCGACGAAGCTTAACTTAAGAGTCTAAGATCGTCAACGAAAACTTCGGGGTACAGAATATGTTGAATAATATTGCGCACTAACAAGCCGTAGCGTTTAATTAGTTCCAAAAGGGCATGCATAAATGTAAGCTAAGACAAAAATTTGCACGTGGAATCCCACACTTTTGTTTTTCCCGCTCGTGGATTTTGCTTTGGCGAAGCCCGTTCGAGTATGCGAGGAACTTGAAGAAACAACTCCGAGTTCAATTGGGAAATGACTTCGTCGGCCGGGAAATGTAAATGTGGCTCAAAGTTCCAAGCTTAGAGAAGTTTGCTTGCCGTCACTTAAAATGAACGGTTCGTCGAAGAAAGTGATTTGAACTTGTCAAAACCACGTATTGAGCAGATCTAGTAAATGCTTCTACATGGAATTTTGGAGCTTTTACTAACTGCTGGCGTAAATTGTGATTGAACGATTTTTATTACATCGCTCGCAGCGCCCGTGGGCTAGAGGAAGCGAATCCTGTCTTCTGATTGGCTAACCGAGCGGGCAAGATGTGCCTATCTCGCCCGCTCGAGATTGCCCTCATTGATTCAGCGCATGAAAAAAAAATAGAATTAGACCAATGCTCGTAATTCTTGGACAATTTTGGCGGTGGAAACGCAAAAAGGGGCAGAAGATACTCAAAACGAAGAAAACAGAAACGACTCTCGTGAGTTTGTTGTGTTACAAACACAGTTGGCTTTCTTTCCAGGAAGTAAACAAGTAATTCCTAATTCTTATAAAAGCGAAATCATTTCGCGATATAATAAATCCTTTATTAACCGAGCTGGATCGGTCAAGAGGGCTGGATATTAGCCTCGTTTTTTTTTTCGCATTTTTATAGACCGAAACGCAGTCGAGGTCCATAAAAATGCATAAAAAGAACTCGGTCAATATCCAGCCATCATGACCGAACAAGCTTGGTTAATAACGCATATATATCGTCCCGGAAAAAAGTATTTATCCGTCAGCAAAGCGTTTAGCTGTCATTATTTAAAAAATAGCACTCTGTCCTGCACAGAGAACGACAAAAAAAAAAAAAACATGAATGTCCTTTATTTACTAGTTTAGTGTTCGGAGTGTCACAAAGCAAAGTCCTACCTAAACTTTGCGACAGAAATCAGCCTAACCCACAGTGATAAAGTTAACAAGTATTGATCCCCACCTAGAGTTCGTCACAAAAGGGAAAGCGTCTTCGGATCTTTATAAAATAATTAGCCAAGCGAAGTTTCTTAGTTTCCTAAGTAAACCACCATGTTTTTTCCTTGAAAACACGGAGTGCTCGACTGCAATGGAGCCATCCACTGACAATTTCCAGTGAGATTGCTTTGCAAGTTGTGAGAACATCGTTTCAATTTAAGAGAATGTGGAAGTAGTCCCCCCACCTGTTATAAAAATATTGTAGTTCCCATCCTTTGTCACACGTGTTTACAAGCATGCACACTCATTTGCCCCTGTGTCGATCGAGTGCTCTCTACCTCTAGATCTTATTACTCTTACAAGTGGAAAAAGGATCTACCATTGGACAACTGACACTTACTTGAAATGCTGTCCTGGATGGCAAAGAAAAGGATATAGCCATAGCTGCACAAAAGGTTTGATCCGAGAAAGATTAAAGCCAATTAGAATGCGATTCCCTTTATAGCCCACATTGTTATATAATAACTCTCTCAAGCTGCTTCAGATTACTCCTGAATCCAAAAGGTTCAAGAATACCAGAACATAAGAAGTTTTCAAAGGAGAACCTTAGTTATGAGGAAATCCTATGAGACGTGTATTTATTCTCCACGAAAACTGTAAATCTGCAAGAGATACTAATTGTCATAGCGTGATCGTCTACTGTAACACAAACATGTATGCTGGTTATATTATACCAAAGTACGAAATCATTTGAACGAGTCCTAGCCATTCCTCATATCCTTTTGTTTCTCCAGCAATCTGCAATAAAGGCTGCAACAACCATGGAACTTGCTCCCGTCCGAACTATTGCAATTGTACTCGTTTTTGGACAGGGCCTAGTTGTAGTACAGGTAAGGTAAAAACAAACAAACATATCAGTACCTTGGCGAACAAGGCCAATCAGTTCCTAGGGCTTATAAAACGGTCTGTTGGCACAGCTAATACAAGAACCTTTTTACTGCCGCTACAAATCATTGGTTAGGCTTCTTTTAGAGTACGCTGTACCAGTCTGGAATCCTTACCTGGTCAAAGATATCCACGCAATTGAGAACGTGCAAAGACGTGCGTCAAGATTAGCTCTAAGGCAGAAAAGAGGCGATATGCCCTACGTGGACCGATGTAACAAATTAATTTGGCCATTGTTGTCCACTCGTAGAACATATTTCTGACTAGTGGAATGCTACAAGATTGTGTTTGATTTGTCCCATCTTGATTTCGAGGAAGTTTGAATTCGCAAAAGTCAATTCCACTGGAGCAAACCACTCATATAAACTTTTTTTAAAATCAACCAGAATCAACTGTTTTAAACATGCGTTTTTTGTTAGAGTGATTAGTGATTGGAACAGTTTAGCCAAGCACCTTGAACTTTTAAAATTAAGACTTAAATCGTTTTTAAAAGTATGAATTTCAATTTTTTTTTATAATATGATTTAAATTTTTATTCTGTATATAGTTATATATATATAACTAACTGCATATATATATATATTTTTTTTCTTCAGGGAAGTTTTATTATAGGGTTAACCTTTAAACTTCCCTTTTCAAATGTTGTATAAATTTGAATAAACATGTATGTAAAAAACCTACCTAAAACGAAACGAACCTACATTAACTTCTCTGTTCTGTGTGTACTCAGAAACACTTTACATTTTACCACAAAAGTGTACATTATTTTGAAGAAATTGAGACTTTGATTGAGATTGGAGTTGAACTAATTGAGTTAGATCTTGTAACAAGACGTTTTGGTCCTTTAATTTCGACAGCTGTAAACGAATGCTCCACAAACAATGGAGGGTGTGCGCAGGGATGTTACTTTAGAAGAGGTGCAGCGAGACTATGCTATTGCCGCCAGGGGTACAGTATCAGCAAATCTGATAAGACAAAGTGCATTGGTGAGTTTCAACTTTCCGGGAGAATTAGACAGCCAAAGACTGCATGTGGCTACTGATATAGCTCAATTTTTATTGCACTAAAAAGAGCTAGAGGTTGTTTAAAGTGCATACGACACGAAATTTTTTTCTTTTGTTTCTTGTAGTTGGAAGTCTATAGAAAACGTTTCGAAGCTTTAAAAGTGCTGGAAAATGTAAAAAGCAGTTTTTTTGCTTTCAAAATACGCGCAATTTGCCTTCAAATTTGTCCCAGAGACTGGGACCTAGTTTTTCGCTGTCTAAGTTATTCGTGACGTCACATTTTGTACCTTTGCCGGGAAGGTCTCTTGTCGCTAAGAGAATTCTGCAGTACTTCGTATTAGATGGATAGTGCATTGAAAGGCAAAAATATCCATTGATTCGAGTGATTCCTTTGAGTCCGACTCTTCTGAAAGTTCCATTGACGTCACGTTACGATATCACGTGCGATTTTGGCCGCGCGATGACCGGGACAAATTTGAAGGCAAATTGAGCGTATTTTGAAAGCAAAAAGAATGCTTTTTAGATTCTTACAGCACTTTTAAGGCTTCCAAACGTTTTCTATAGATTTCCAACTACAAGAAACAAGAGAAAAAATTTTCGTGTCATATGTACTTTAATGATGCTAAAAGGTGGTGTTGCAGAACATTTTTCTCACATGCAAAACAGAAAACCTGCCGCATCCCACATATTTATTATGAGTACCCTGTTCCACAAGAGAAAGAATGTATTGTCTTATTTACATTCAACCAATAATTAATTCATTACAAATATATAATATTTACAACGACAACAATGATTAAAATAGTAATATAATAATGATTTTAAAAGACTAAGCTTGAGAGCCTCATGGTTCCCCTATCCTCTGAGCCCCGACAATGATTACCTATGCTTCTTTTAATTTCGCCCGTTAACTGGAAATAATTTTACTTTATTGCAATTCAGTTTGTTGAGGCTTAGAATATTCCGTCATCTTGCGTCTTAAGATATTCCGCCGATCCACACAGCTCCTCCGTTCCACCATTCTGATGAATAACTCGAGGTATCGTATTTCGCAGCTCCACCAAGAATCTCGACAAAATTTGTCCTCACCAATTTCAAATTGTCGACCATGGTCACAGTAGCGTAATTTTGGTGAGCAAGTCTTTTTTTTAAGCGAAAGTTCTGGCCGTCATCACTGATTTTTAATGGAAGCGGAAGAGTGGAAGAAATTTGTGCGGGGAGGGTGAGCGCCGGGGAAAAAAGGGAGGAGGGGGTGAGGAAAGGGGAGTGAATATTTTACCCCTTCCCGTCCCCTTCCCCTACCGTCGATTCTAACTCTAAATCAAATTGAGGCACTCCTCACCTATGGAGCGCCTGCTGTGTATCGGCGTCACTCCCCAACTTCCACGCAGCGTGCTAACATCAATTTTTTTTTCACTGATCTTTTATTACTCGCGCGACAGAAGCAGTCGAAAACGAGGGACTATTCGTAGTCTATTTGTCTGAAAGACTCTCATTTGATACGCGCGATCGAATTTTCTTGATGGAGGTATGCCTTCTAATCGCGGCTTGTAAATTGAAAAATCTGTCAGATTTCACAACTGACAAAAGTTTGTCCTGTTCTGACGGTACCTTTGGAGATTGGTAAGGCTTGACAAAATAATCCCAGGGCGCACTTTGCGATCAATATGCTTGATCAAATTTGCCGAGTGCGCCCGGGCCTTTAGGGGTCCTTTTCGACTGAAGTCGCTGATTCAAACGGTTAAGAGTTTTTTTTTAACGAAAAACAATTTTTCTTAAAGCTTACATTATATGCAGTTTACCTCTATTAGGATATTTCTGCGAGGAAAGTTTTGATTTCAACTAGGCGTCGGTGGATGCCGCTGTGAAATTATTTTGAGATGTTTGTCTACTTGTAGTGTCCATTGCGGCAAGAACTGAAAAAAAACTATATTTTGCGATCTACATAGTTTGTTGATTTACAAATGATAAAATGCTCTCTCTTCAAAAAAGAAATCTTATTCTAAGTTTCAAGATGTACCGATCAGACCTATTAAGATATTCTAGCAAGGAAAACTTCTCTTTTTAGAGCACGCACGATCCTGAAAATGATTGTGAGATGTTTAACACTTTCTGCCGTGTTCCGTAATGTGACAAATTGAACTGAAAACATAATGTGTCCGTAGTTTTAATCCAGAAATCACAAAAGGAAAGAGCTCAATTGTGTTAGAAGCTTTTTATAACACTCGGTTGAACTCCTTTATTTCTTTGCTTGACTCTTAATACAATTTTTCTTTTTCTTGAGACTAGCTCAGTTTTTTAACACAACTCTACTCAATTCAATTTCACTCTGATCTGTACAACTCAATTCCGTTCTATTCTGATTGAAAAATGGTGAGCAACAGCTTATAAAGGTGACACTACTAAGCTGTCAATCCTCTTGCATGGTTATCGTTCTATCTCAACCAGCGAATCACGTTATTAGTTACGTAGGACAGTTCCTGCATACTAAGTATGCCCCTTCCAGTCGTTTACGCAGTTACAAAATCATTTTCTACCTTAGATTTCATATCTTTATGGATGAGATCGGCGAGATTGATAATATAAGATTGATAATATCAAAATTATAATTGACTCACTGACATTACCGACAGACTTAGAATTATACTTGAGAAGATATCTTAAGAGAAAATAGCCTTAGAGGATTGTTACATAACAAAAAGATAAACAGAAATTTCAGAGAAGAAGGGGTGTTCACGAGTATCACCCCCAGAGATGCTATGTGATCTTACGCAGGTTATCTACTTCAAAATTCAGTGCGGAAAATGAAAAGGCAAAAGCTGTTACACTTAGAGTCACCTTAAAGAAAGAGGTGTTCAAGGTGGTAAATTGAAATTTAAGAAATATTCCTTGATCGTGAATTTGACACAGAATTTGTTCTAAAAAAACGAGGCTGAGAATAATCAAAAGTATAAGAGGCAGGAATTTCCAGGAATTCCTGTGCGAGGTTAACTTTTACCAGAGAGACTTACTCTCTTCCTTAACAAGCAGATTGATATAATAAAATAAAAACATAGCCTACCGCGAAATATATCACTACAAGCTGTAATCACCATAGAAACTGAACATCTGCTTCCATATCAAATTCACAAACACAATAAGAAAAAGGTAAAAGAGATTCTACTAAGATGAGACCGCCGGATGGAACAAGAAGTAATCAACCTGCTTGCTATAATTTTTGCATCGAATGGCTTAAAGTAATATAATATTTCCATTCCTTTTCCCAACACCAATATGAGGAAACCCTTACAATATTTCAGATTAAGTATAGTTCTGTTTTTATTGTTTGACAATTGTGTATTGAGTGCGAACATCGAACTACTAAGATTCTATCGTTACACTTACTCACTCACTGACTCACTCACTCACTCAACTCAACAACGTAAGTGGCTTTGCCTCCTATAGAAGGCAGTGGCCACAAAAAATGTCACAGAATCATATCTAAAGTTTCTTTTGATTCACATACCGATGTTCTTTTTAAAGCACATGGGATCTTAAAACTCTCGGACATCTATTTCTACCAAATAGGTAAATTTATGTATCTGTTTAAAAGAGGCTTACTTTCTAATTATTTTTATGATATGTTTACTCTTGCTCGCCAGATACATTCTTATAATACAAGAAATTCCAGCTTTTTCTACATACCTCATTGTCGAACTAATTTTCGAAAACTTTTAATTCGATATCAAGGCCCTAAGTTTTTCAACACGCTAATTCGGGAAATTCAATACTCTGAAAGCATCAGCTTGTTTAGCAAAAGGCTTAAAAAAATTCTTCTTTCTTAGTTAAATATGATCTTTGTTAAGCTACACACCTTTTCTTTTATATTTCTTTTTTTTCTTTTTCTAACTTAATCTAAACTTTCATTCAGCACCTTTGATTTGTATGGTTTGTCCTGTAGTTTAAGGAAGCCTATACTTTATAAGCCCCCGGCTTCTAATAAGTACACATCTATATTTATACAGGATAGCCCCTTCAGTGTAGTAAACACTGGTATCAACGGGGGTCCTGCTACCCACCCATCCCACCCCAGGGAAGGACATCCATCGCGCAGTAATTTCGTGCGTGGGAAATGAACGTCTCCTGCCCCTAACCCTGCAGGAGACGGGACCCCCATTTATTCGTCCCTATCTGAGAACACTAGAATATCTAATCATTTCTTGATGTTATAAAATGGTAGCATGTTCTTCTCAATTATTTTAAGACCCTGAATGTTGGTTCGGCCGGGTCTCGAACCCTCGACCTCCCGCACAACAGTCCAGCGCTCTATCCATTGAGCTAACCGGGAGGCCGTCTTTGATGTATCAGAAATTTTGTATTCGGTTAATTCTTTTTCTGGTAATGGCAAATAAAATGAATAACAAAAGCAAATACAATGGCAAATAGTTGAAATATTCTACTGCGAAAAGGTGGAACGATTTAGATGAATCTATGCGAGCTCTCGATGGCTTTCAAAATTTTAAAGTATGAAGCTTGTAGACTTACGGAATACTTGTTGTTAATATTTTTTATCACAGCTTGGTTTAACAGTTAAGTATTCTATATTTGTTATCAGATTAGTCTATTGTAATGTAACTAGAGAGTTTAATTAGTGTGGTTAATGAATTAGACTTACTTATTTACTAACTTCTATAGTTTTATTTTTGCGGCGAAATTAGCACCGCCATGCCACAGTTACTCTGAAATTTAAACAGAAATCAACTTATCTTTAAATTTTAATACGTTCGGCAGATGTCAACGAGTGCACAAACAGCGCCTTGTGCACCTGCGCTTCCGGATCAAATTCATGTGCAAATAGATGTCGGAATACTAATGGGAGTTTCATTTGCGAGTGTGGCAATGGATACAGACTTCAAAGTGATACAGTATGCACAGGTATGACTGCGTAGAGTCAATTGATTTGAACGGTTATTAAAGCAATAAAAACACTAATGTGACCTTGAATTACTGTAAAATATTGTAGGAGTCCGAGCTCCCGCCGCTCAACGGCATCATCAGGGACGGATAAGATAAAAAATTCCGCGAGGGCCGAATAAAAGGGAGAAAAGTGTCACTATACTAATGAGCTAGTGTCACTGTGAAAGGATCTAGTATGATATGGGAAGCGTTAGAACAATAGGTCCGCGAATTCAATGCGTTCTTCTCGGGAGTTGAGCGTAGGTTTGTTTTTCCTAGCTTATGTAAAACGCTTCAAATAGGAGGAGGTTTACCGGGTCGTTTTCCAATGTAATTATTTTCACTTCAATGCATTTTCTTTATTTATTTCACATGAAGTTTATATTAACTAAGTTGTTTCATCAAGCAAATGACAACGGTTACAATTAAGGAAACCTGGAAAAAGGCAGAGATATAAACAATGGTGCTGAAGTGAAGATGACTTAGTAGATAAATGGAATGTTAGCTTAGTGTGATTAGAGGAGAGCTTAATGAGATATTGAGCAAGATCATGTTCGAAGTAAATCTCTAAATCCTACAAAAGAGCAATCTTTATGAGCTTTTATGGCTCTCTCTCTCTAGAGAATCATTAACCTCTTTCAACTGCCGCGGAATTTTCCTAAATGTATAGAAACGGAATTAACAGACTCGTTGAAATTTAAAACATACTGATGTCGAGGGATGAGAATTTCGGTCAATGTAGTTCACTGAGTTATAGTAAAAATGTTTCATGTTTGTACAAATTTGAAAGGAAAGGGGTGTATATAAGGTAGTTTTTCGTCATCAAAACTAGAATCTACCTTGCCGAAAAAGACAGTTGATGACATAGTCTTCATAGGATTAGCGATTAAAATCTGCATACGGGTACAGGTATACGATTCCTTTTAGTTGGTTATGCTTTTTTTTTTTAAGTCACCACTTCAGAGACGGAACACCTACAGCGACTTTTTTTTCTATGATACACATTAGTATAATTTCAGAGCTGAGCAAAGAGTTTCCAGCAATCTGACTGGTCGAGCGGTTCCTTATATGACGCTATATAAACCGCTCCACGCGGTTTATATAAAATGTTCAAGTAAAATGTTAATAAATGTTTCTAAGATGTTATGATTTTAGAAATTTCTGTGTTGTTCAGCTCCGAAATTATACTAATACAATTATTCGCCTCAGGTTCGGTGAATACTGTCGAATAATCCCCTCGACTTCGTCTCGGGGATTATTCGACGATATTCGCCTCGCCTTTGGCGAATAATTGTTAAATATTAAGTAAACATGTTGGTAATATGAACAAACAACTTTATCGATTCTTTGCGATGAATTGTTGCATGCTTATTACAGATGTCGATGAGTGCGCCTTGATTAACGGAGGTTGCAGACAACAGTGTGTGAACTATCCCGGTGGGTACAAATGCAACTGTCCGCGGGGTTTCCGTCTCGTGTTTGGAAAATCATGTAGAGGTATGTTTTAATAATACTTAGCTATTAGAGTAGCTTTCATATACTTTACGAAAAGACAAACTAATATAAAGATCCCAATCTTTGCTTGGTGATTGGCGTAAGAGAACTCACACAAACCTCACAACCGACGGTTCTCCCTCTCGGTAGACCGTTCAAGTGTTTTTATTCGCGTTTTCTGATGCTGCTTGAATGTTTTTTCTTGACTTGATTAATTCATTTTGCGAAACATTTGGTTTCAGGTACTCCACATTCAATCCAAAATCGTTGTAATTAAGGAAGCCGAGATAGCGTCTGGCAACTTAAGTGAGGGTTCAAAAACAAAGTCAAAGTATTGTTAAGACAATGGAATCTTAATGATCTCGGTAATTAATGAATGCGGACTCCTGAGCAGTGGAATAGGTGAACTAGGTGAAAGCACATCACTAGACAAAAGGCAATAGTTTACTTCTAATGTACGCGGAAGTAAATCGCGGCCCTTTCTTTTCACAAAAGGTTTTTGTCTGTTGTCGAGTTTTTTTTTCTTTTTTTTTTATTAGACATAGACGAGTGTGTCAGCAACAACGGAAACTGTCAACATAATTGCAGGAATCTGTTCGGCAGCCATCGCTGCAGCTGTGATAAGGGATTTCATTTAAACATAAATGGAAGGACCTGCTCAGGTAAAATTAACCTAATGCAGATTGTAATAGCGGAGCTCGCGTCGCGCGCAGCAAGACCCATACTATAAAAAGGGGAATAAGTCCATTAAGTAGAGAAATTTGGTCTGTCCCGTGACTGTACATCCGTACGAACTAGTTAGTATATTCAACATGCGCAATTAACCGTAATCAGCAGAGAAAGGGAGAAGATGATGGGCATGCGTGGCTGCGTGCATAACCTAGAATCCCATTCGAAGAACCGTGGGCACACGACTAGGCATTTCACAAGGGCTAAACTTGAGCTTGTAGATGTGAAGTGGCGCAAGCCAAGAGTTTACATCTTGAGTTTTAGACGGGAAATCATACTGGACAGTGCGTCACACTGTTACAGCTGTCCATGCCTCATACCTGTCAGGATTTTCCACTGTCAAAGCTATCAGGGCTTATAACTGTCATGGTTGTCAGGGTTCTTACTGTTCATACTTGTCTGGGTTTCAGATTGTCATGAATGTCAGGGTTTCAGATTGTCGTGGCGGTCAGCGTTTCATACTCTATTGGCTGTTAAGGCTTCTACCTTGCTTTTCCACCTTATAATATCGGTGGCGTTAATTTTCTTCCTATTTAATCACATTTTACTGCATATGTTTACCTTCTTGGCTGAATTAGTGTTTTGGTTGTTCATATTACTTGACCAGTTTTCGGTCAAGTTGACCACATTGTTATGGAGCGCATTGTTTTTGGAAAGGTAATGGGTTGCTTTACTCGTCCAAAAGTGTATATAACAACCACTACTTCCAGATATGACTTCGCTTATTGAATTATTTTCAGTAGGTATAACTTATTAGAGACAGTGGTGCTTAGGGTAAGCTGTATGCCAGTAGCCATTACAACAGTTAGATGGTTGCGTTGATTTCTAACAACAACACTATATATTCTTTCTTTAGACATTAACGAATGTAAGTTAGTCCACGACTGTCAGGATACTTGCAGCAATACTCTTGGTGGATACAAGTGCTCTTGTGGTAAAGGATATCAACTAAACACTGATAAAAGGACATGCACAGGTAAGTTTAGTGACTAACTACGAAAACTTGTAACGCAGGATTTCGTGTTCGGTTCGTTCTGCGTTCTTGATATGAACGAACATATCGCCTCTCAACAATAATTGGTAATCTTAAGAGGGTTGTTGCTTTTGAGGCGTTGCCGCTAAGGGATTTACAGAATTTGAATTTCTACTATCCCTCAAGACGGAATATCTACATAGGAAAATGACGCACTAGATATTTCTCTCAGATATCGATGAGTGTGACCCCAGAACCATCGAAGGAAGTAAGGAAACAGCCACTCTCTCCGGTTGTCATCATATCTGCACAAACGTTGACGGAAGCTTTCAGTGTTCTTGTAGGAAAGGATATGCGCTGATGTACGACAAGAGGCAGTGTAAAGGTTAGTGATGCAACCTTCTCCGTGGGGCAAAAGTTTGCAATATGTCACCTTTCGACGGCAAAGAGTTCTGGAGAGATCAGATTTGAGACACTGTACGGTCCTATATATATTGCTGTTTTTTTTGTCTTGTCCTTAGATATTGACGAATGCCAGAGTGGAAAGCATTCCTGTGAACATTACTGTCACAACGCAGATGGCCACTACTTTTGCACATGTAGACCAGGCTACACATTGTTATCAGGCACGAAAAAGTGCAAAGGTTCGTATTTAAGAGCGGTAATTGAAAAGGTTTCTCGAGAGAGACTTCGCTTTCATTACCTATCCGTCCTTTCATTCATTTCTCTCTTGAAGCACGAGAGAATAAGTTCTTACGATACTGTATCACGTTAAAATGTTATAACCCACGACTCTTAGAGCCATTCCTTTACAAGGTGAATAAGCACTTGCCTAGTAATCATCTATGCCACTTTCAAGGTGCTATTAGAACTCAAATAATCACGCGACTTTTTCTTTGTTAGGGCTGATGCGTTTAAAACTTCCTGTCTTTTCTTTTCACTCTCACAATTGAGGCTGTGCGAAGTCAAGGCCTTGAACAAATTATTGAAAAACAAAGGTTTTAAGCCTAAAAGCGAGTAGAGCCTCCGAATTTGTAATTCAACAGCCAGTAGTATTCGCTAATTGTGGCCAAAATGGAAAGACAAAAAGAATAAACTAATCGGGAGATGAGAGTAATAAATTCATGTGCATTAGCCTCGAATGAACAAACTTATCGGCTCTAATCATTTTTCAGCTCAGCCTTGTGAGAAGATTTCTTCGCCACTCAATGGTACAATGAATTGTTCCGGACTTGTCACTGATGCCACTTGTTCATTTTCTTGCGATCCCGGATATGATTTGGTCGGACCACGGTTGATTACATGTCTTGCTTCTTCAAATTGGAGCAAAAAGCTACCTTTCTGTCAAGGTAACTGCCATCCCTCATTCTCAAGCGGGTAAGAATCCATCTGAATTAAAGGCAAAACGTTTTTCTTTGCGCGGGTTATCCTTTTCATCGTTCGCGCATCCAGTAAGTCCAAATATTCCGGGTCATGTTGCTCTCCGTATTAAGAAAAGTGGATCAACTTTAATTCCAACAGGCTTTGTCAAGTCATTAGAAATGACTCTATGTGGCCACTTTGGAACAATGGCGGAAACAGCTTCGAAATACAGGCGGGATTTTTTAAAATCTCCGTTGATTGTACGAGCGGCAAAATTGAAACCAACGGCAAAACTGAAGAAAAGACAAATTCTCCCCGTGGGTGTGACAATGGTAGAATTTCTTTTTGATGCAAATAGCCACGGTGGGGTGGATGGTGGGGCGACTTTTGCTCTCGTAACCAAGGTAAAGATAAGTGAATAGAGGGAGAGGGTTTTTAAAGAAACTGTGGTGCTGTGTCGGTGGGAGTAACGAGGTGGTTTAAGTTTTATAAACTGAGTTGATAATGTAAATTGGATACCATAGAAAGTTCCAAAGCTGGCGAGTCACGTGTGCTTTTCTCCATTTGATAATCTCGATTACTGGATATTGTAGAGTTTTGACTGGTGCAGCCCCTGAATGGTATATGAGCGATACGCCCTACGTGTTTGGCGGCTGAAATTCAGAAAGCACTCAGACTTTCAATGAGACGCTAGAGCCCTATGTGATTCAATTAATCGTTAACGTCCAAATTTGGACTTAATTTGGGGCATTTGAACCATGAACTGATACCTCATTGGGTGACAATCAAACTAATCAATTCTAAAAACTGCAATGTTTTTGCTTTCCCCTAGTAAAACATTGCGATACGTTGATCACACGTAACTTGAATCAAACTATCTCAGTACCTTGCTTTACGTCCTTCGGCTCAACTTGCTATTTTGGATGTCGTCGTGGATTTTTCTTGGAGGGAGATGGACAAGTTAATTGCATCCTCAATTCCAAGGGTGACGACGTTTCGTGGAACATTGGGAATTTTTCTTGTAAAAGTAAGTTTCATCGGAAGACTAGAATAAGACCAGCTGTATATGTGCACGATCCTTCGCAGTAAAGCACTATTTAAGCAATAGTGAAAATCAGACCTGAAAAAAATCCAGGCCTGTACGGGATTCGAACCACTGACCTCTGCGATACTAGTGCAGCGCTCTACCAATTGAGCTAACAAGCCAACTGGGAGCAGGCCATCAAATTAATTCGACATAAACCCGTAGATGATAAATCAAACAACAAATATATATGAAATACATATATATGAACTGCGGTTATGAAACGTATATGTGCACGATCCTTCGCAGTAAAGCACTATTTAAGCAATAGTGAAAATCAGACCACTATTTAAGCAATAGTGAAAATCGAATTAATTTGATGGCCTGCTCCCAGTTGGCTTGTTAGCTCAATTGGTAGAGCGCTGCACTAGTATCGCAGAGGTCAGTGGTTCGAATCCCGTACAGGCCTGAATTTTTTTCAGGTCTGATTTTCACTATTGCTTAAATAGTGCTTTACTGCGAAGGATCGTGCACATATACGTTTCATAACCGCAGTTCATATATATGTATTTCATATATATTTGTTGTTTGATTTATCATCTACGGGTTTATGTCGAATTAATTTGATGGCCTGCTCCCAGTTGGCTTGTTAGCTCAATTGGTAGAGCGCTGCACTAGTATCGCAGAGGTCAGTGGTTCGAATCCCGTACAGGCCTGAATTTTTTTCAGGTCTGATTTTCACTATTGCTTAAATAGTGCTTTACTGCGAAGGATCGTGCACATATACGTTTCATAACCGCAGTTCATATATATGTATTTCATATATATTTGTTGTTAAGACCAGCTGTATTACGTTCATGAGATGACTTGAACACTCACATATATGTAAAAGGCTGACACCGGGCTCTTAAGATTCATTGTTCCCGAGAGGAAATGTCTAGAGTATTTCCAATTAAAAGATCGTTATTGACCTTATTGTGGTACAAGAAACACAAGTCGATCACATATTGAGGAAACTAGCTAAGTAATTTAAACTAGTTTCATTTCGTACGTAAAGGAAGATCTGCATTCAATAGAAAGTTGATTAATTAGTACATCTCATGCAGAAAAGGTAAAAACGAAAAAAAAAAAGACGTACAGACAAACATGAAAAACAAAATTCAAAATCCGCAAAGAACGAGAAACCAAATAAATCATTCAGAGTTTTTATTGACAGGTGAAGTTATTTCTTTTTTGTCGTAGTGATCGAGACCTGCCAGCCAAATCCATGCAGACATGGAGGGAAATGTTCAGCGCTGAGAGAAAAGCACTATACCTGTAATTGTGAAAACACTGGTTATAAAGGAAGTCGTTGTGAGACTGGGTATGTCCTGAAGCCTATCTTTCCTAAACTACTCTGTAATAAACAATCCGAGATGCTTTACCTTGTAGCACGACCACTGATACGCCTCAAAGTAGTATTATCATCTGAGGAAGGGGTTGCGTTTCAGCCACAGTCATTTGTATTTAACTCTTCAAAACGGACGCACCTATTTACTGTGATTGCAGAAAAGCCAGGAATCCAAAGGATTAGATATGATCTTGAGGGTGAAAGTGCGAACGATTTTGAAGCTCCTAAACTAGGCGTGTTATTCACTGCGCCAAAAACGTCCCCTAGAAGCAGCTTAAGCACAAAGTTATTCCTTCGCAAAGGGGAGCTACCCATAGGCTGCGAGGAAAATCAGAGAAAACTTTCATGTGAAGTACGTCTATTATCTACCGCACCGTGGACGAAGAATCCTTCCTCTACTAATGGCATTGTGCACATAAACGCTGCAGGAAACCAAGATATTCCTCTTTCTCTAATCGGTTTAAATTCGTGGGATGGTTTTTCTCGAGATAAAGTGATTGAAGCTAGCATATCTATGACAGCTCCTTCCAAAAAGTACGTACTATTGCATTCAAAAAACGGAGCTTGCCAAGCAAGAGTCACAGACACAAACAGTCTACTTGAGCTCATAAGAAACGATGCATTCGTGTCTTCGTTTATGGAGGCACTTTCATCGATGGCTCCGGAATGGCTTTCATTTTCAGTTGACGAGAACAACAATTTGTTTGACATTCAGAACATTGCTGCTAGTCTTGTACCTGATTTGGAACACTGCTCAGGATTTCCCCTAAATCAAGCATCAAGTCTCATCTATTACCGTCCTGCTGTGAATTATAAAATACGAGTTACACAGACTGAGGTTCCTTTATTCGCTGATGGGACAACCTGCTTTGCAATAAATCTATGCCAGCCTGGTTTGTTCGTTAACCTTCGCAAAGGAGACGCTAATCTTTTAAAGAGCACTCTGAATATCCTCCGAGAATTGAAGAATGACGGGCTCAATCTTCAGGTGGATTCGATCGGCTTTCATAGAAACAAGGAGACTGTTCGTTTTGTGAATGGAATTATTTGGAATGGCAAGGAGTTACAAGAATTATCCCCCTTCCACTTCAACATGTGGTTAAAAGGAAGCCTAGAATGGAAATTTGGGGTTCCTAAGCTCCTCCTCTTATCTTTTACGATGCGTGGGGATGCCATTATCAGATCCGACCATATGGAAAGTGTAAGTATACAATCGTGAAAATTGTTTTGTAAATGTCATTATGGAAATGGATCCTATTTTTCTAGGTTCCAGTATAATTCCGGTGATAAAAGTCAAGAGAATAGCTCTTGACTTTTAAAAAAATGCCTCAGACATATTCCTACTTTCGATGACTCCTAACAATGACTTACTTTTCATGCATTCCTATACAGCTATTTACCACTCTTATGTCTCAACGGATGGACATGCAATTAAGAGGAGAAGCATTTCTGAACGTTTCTGGAAGAGCACTCGGGAAAGACTTTGTCTTGAAACTTGGTTTAGCCAAGGCAAGTGGAAAAGCTGTCTTGGGAGGTAGGACAAATTTCTGTGTTAACTTTCTCTTGGGAGAGAGAAACGAGAAAAGGTGTACCTGAGAAAGACATCTCCTAAAGATTTCTATCAGAGTTTAGGTGCATTTTTGGGCGGATAGCTGCTTCGCTGTTTTTACCTGCTTTTCTTTGGAAGAAATTTAAGATACGGAGTAGCGATCAAGAGCAGTAATGTAAAATGTGATTCATAGTAATATCTTGGCCATCAATTTAGAAAAAATGATACTCAGTGTAACTAAGAGCTGCATCTTTAAAATATTGACATTGAGTAATAATAGGCGTTAATCTCTAAACGCATACCCTGGAAAGTCATCATATTGATAACATTACCCTTGGGTTAGACATGGTTTGATGCTACTCTGGTGTAAGGATTTTATAAATATAACCGGGGAATTAAAATTCACAGATCCAACGTTTCGACACTCTTGTCTGGTGCCTTCATCAGGGGTGATCTAGTCGTTGCAACTAGAGGTCCTTTGATATGCTCACTAATTAGCAACCCTTTCTTTCACGTAGTAAGCCGCCATCGTTACGATTTAAAGGAGTGTGGGCGGAGTTAATTTGCAAGGCTTCCAAGCAAAGACGCTAGGCGGTAACGCCGATTAGTGGTGATGATTTTAGAATATCCCACCCAATTGTGAGGTTAGTTAAGCATGCGAGCTCCGACAAAGCTGACAAAAATCTTAATGCTGGTGAAGAATTGGTATCTTCTGACGTTGTTTCGCTCTTCACTAAAATATCAGTTGATCTGGCCCTTATAGTGGGGAAGAGAGACTCCGAGGAGATGCTTTCCTGGCTTAGGACAAATAACTTCTTTTTAATCAATCAATCTGCTGTGTTTTGCCTCAAAACCCTGCAGTTTCCATGCAAAGGCACCTTCTATCAACAGGTCTCTGATACAGCTATGGATTCGCCTGTCTCTGCCGTCATTGCTAATAAATATGGTAATGTCTCTTCACCGGGTTCTAGAAACGAGATGTCAAAGATGTCATCTCAGCGGTATCAGGAAATGAAGCGGAACGTGGAGCAGTGTTCCAACAGAGGAGTCGTGTATCCAATTCAGCTTCGAGCGTGAAAAGGATAGACACCGGCCCTTTATCGATTTAAATGTGTGCAGAGCGGAACAGGGGAATTTAGAGACAAGTGTTCATCGTAAACCGACCCGCACCGATTACCATAAAAAGTCCGTAGGTTAAACTTTACTAAGAAGGGCCGACTGTCTACCATATTCTCTTGATTCGAGGGCCGAGGAGAGGAAATATGTTTCGGAAGTCATAACGGTAAATGGCACCAAAACATCTCACCGTAATAGCCAGAAACCAGTTACAACTAGTAACACTCCTGATGAGAAGGAACCAGCGACTGGTTTTGCTGTTATTGTTACCGGCCGCGGAAGGAGAGGTCGAAATCATTTACATTGAAAGCAAACATACAAGCAATATGGCGGACCAAAACGAACCTCGCGCGTTTATTTATTCTTTTTGCCATGGCAACTCGTGAAAAATACGTTTAAATGGGGGGGAGGGGTGGTGTCCGTTTTCTCAACTTATCCTTAACATTATTCCTTACATTCAGGGTACGTGTTACGTTACCCATCAAGCGAATTTTGAATAGCCACAATGTTAAACTTTAACCTTGAGCAACTTTATCGGACATTGGACATATTTTTGCCAAACCTAAGGATTCTGTTATGAAAGAACAACGAATCGACGCTATTTTTTCTATACCATGCAATGACTGTGATCACGAGTATATCGGACAGACCAAGCATCAGTTTGGTACACGTTTAAAAGAGCATTAAAAGCGGTCTTCTTTTTGAAAAAAGAAAACTCAGCTTTGCCGGAGCATGCATGCCTATCTAACCACACAATTGGGTGGAAAAATTCTCAGCACCTTTGTCGGAAGCCTGGCATATTAAGAGAGTGTCTCTGTAAAAGCGGTCCGGTCGATTTTGCTCGAGACACAGATTTCCCTCATTTCTTGTGTGTTGTAAGAGATTCATGTGCCTATACTAAAACCACAATCCGTTTGATCGGATCTCTTTATTTTTCAAAGTTTTACGGAAATGAAATTTCACTCGAGCGAAGGCCTGTCGTGACACTTTTCAAGACTTTAATTTGAGACAACTTTGGAGGACAATTTAAAAAAAACTACGGAACTCAGCAAAAAACAAATACCACAGCCATGTATATTAATTCTATCTTATCCATCGAGGCGACTTTCGTGAAC